CCACACGAGTTGCGAGCCAGCCCTACAAGTCCGTATGGTCAACAACACTCCCACTTCCAGCTTTTGAATTTGCTTCTCATAATTAACCTGTTCCAGAATACACTGTCGCAAAGCTATACCTCTTCGTTAGACCCAAGCACTTTACGTTATCAACACCCCACTCCATAGAAGCTCGCGGTCTGGGGCTTGCTAAGTCAACCTATCATATCCCCTATCATAATTTACCAGCAACTATTTCTCGTTGCTCGACCTAATAACATGGTTTTCTTTACGCACCACTAACACATCAATCACAGCTTCTATTCACCTTAATACTTCCTTCCTTCACTTGCGACAGTCCTCGTGAGATCCTATACTACTGGCTAACCCTCTATCACAGGTCCTGAACACCCTGTGATTCCCCTCTCCACAATCTGCATTAAGCCTTGGATTGCAGCTGCGCACAATCTACACTTCCCTCGCTTACTATCAGCACTCATGTAAAAGAACACTTGCAAGTCTCAAACCTACAGGTAATATATTACCTTGAATTCCAAAAAAACTACCGATTAATCAAACCCATGCCGCACCTTGTGATTACTCGTACTTTTCCATGTTGAAAATTTTGTGGGCTATTAATATCTTCTTGGAATTGAACTACAAACCTCCAATGGCTATCAATGCTTCTAAAAGTCGTCACACTCCAAAGATAGATTGGGATGCCAAAGCAGTTAAACCAAACACATCTCTCTTGCTCCTCAAATTGGCTCTTCCTCCACTCTTCAACTAAATCACACCACTTCTTACCCCACCTACCTATTTGTTCCTTTCCTTCCTGCATATGTTGAATAGAATTAAAAGTTAGCACTACTATTCTTCCTCCATTATCCCTAATAATCACATCTCTCATTCCCCTATTATATAGTTCTACCTTAAAATCTTCCACAACTAAAAAACTACTCAACTTCACCACTAAACTTTCATAAAGCCAGCCGTTTCTTTCTTCATACGCTCTAATCACCACTTTCTCGCTGTCACTTGCTCCTCCTCTTACTAATGCTTCTGCATATGATTGCTTAACTCCAATACCCTGCCATTGTTGCCTTTGAGGCCGCTGATACATCAATCTGCAATCATCCCCTCTGTTCAACATCCCCTTCTCTTGGTAGCCCAGAGCATGAGGTTTTTGAAACTTTGCTCTTTTAACTTTCAGCGCCTTGTTATCACACCACAAACCATCAGCCTTCAGAATTGCCATCTCTGCCGCCACCTCACAATCATATCGAACAAAACCAAATCTGGAACCTAATACTCTTCTCCTCTTCCCTGGTATGAACGCATCCTTTACCACACCAAACTTTCTAAAAAGATTAAATAATCCTTGAGCATCCATGGACTCAGGGATGTTGTCCACAAAAATGGTAACCACCTCTGTCTTCTTGCGATATCCATCCTGATTTCCTACCATCCTCTTTCTGATCACTGGAATCCAACCTCCATTCACCATCCTAAACTTTAAACTTTTGATAATTGTCTGGATGTAATGGGGGTATTTGTTATTTTAGACTTTTAGCTTTGAAAAAGTTATTTTAGACTGTTTGGTTAAACTTATTTCAAACAACTTCTGATTCTAACAACTTATTTTAACTCAAAAAAGCTGATTCTGAGAAGCTGTTCACCCCTTACTTCTGATTATCAGTTTCTGCTGTGGACATGTTAATTTTTGATTTTACTCTTAAATTTTTTTATTTTTTATTTTTTAAAAAATAGAAAAAGACCTAAATGGACTATAGATTATTATTTTAGCTTTGAAAAAGTTATTTTAGACTGTTTGGTTAAACTTATTTCAAACAACTTCTGATTCTAACAACTTATTTTAACTCAAAAAAGCTGATTCTGAGAAGTTGTTCACCCCTTACTTTCTGATTATCAGCTTCTGCTGTGGACATGTTAATTTTTTATTCTACTCTTAAATTTTTTTTTTTTATTTTTTAAAAAATAGAAAAAGACCTAAATGGACTATAGATTATTATTATTATTTTTTATGAGAAATGTAGACAAACAAAAAATAAAAATTAATTGAAAAATCTATTTCACAGCTTATTTAACAAACACTACTCAACAACTTAAATCTATAATCCAACAGTTACACCAAACAGATTAACAACTTCTGATTAAAGTTATAATTTATAATCTGTTAAGCTATAATCTATAAGCTGTTTTAACAGTTATACCAAACGGGGCCAATGAACCTTACCTCCAAAATGAAAATTCACCTTGCTTGTTTTCACTTTTCAAAAAACACTTTTCAGAAAATTCTATTTTCTTATTTTTCGTGTTTTTTTATTTTTATTAAAATTTTTTAATATTTTAAGCAATTTTTTTACTTTTTAGACACACCTAACAAAATACACCTAAAAAGTAAAAAAATTGTAAAAAAAATCTTTTAAAAATTCACTAAATACCAAAAATACAAAAAAATACAAGAATTCAATACATTTTTTGTATTTTTATGCATTTATTAATTTTTTAAAATATTTTTTTACAAATTTTTTACTCTTTAGATACATCTAAGTAAGGTGCATCTAAAAAAATATAAAAAAAGTTTAAAATTTAAAAAATATTCATTAAAAACAAAAAAACACGAAAACAAAAAAAGTCAATTTTCAAAAACTTAATTCAGAAAACTCAAACCAAACACACTGAATGTTATACCTGCATTATTTTCTGGATAAATTACAAAAATATCTCCTGAGATTTTGCTTAAAATATGGATTGTCCCTGTACAAATAGCCCATTGTCATATATTATTATTTAACAGAATTAACATAAAAATAAGACTTCTAATTGTTTTCCTATACAATATTAAAATTACTTGAATTATTAATTGAAATAAATTTTTGATATCATTAACAACTGTTAATTGACTTGATAAGTTATTCATAAAATAAGTTATTTATTATAAAATTAGAAACTTTAAGGTACGGAATATAATTTTCAAAACCATAAGAAACAAATTGTATTTTGAGCAAACTTTTTGGGAATGTATTTATAATTTATTCTTATTTTTTTTGTACTACTTGCTTTTTTTAATTTTTAATGAGTAAAGAAAATTTTGTACCACTGATTTCCAATATTAGTTTGGTACAAGCATCACAAAATGGTATGTGCCAAAAAAGGAGTAGGTTACCCTTAAAAAGTTCATTTGCAATACCCACAGGACCCAAATTTGAAGCAACATTAATTTCACTCTACTCCAGTGATTCTGAACTCATTTGACAAGTACTAGTACTTATCATAGCAAATTTCCAATATTTTCTTAATTTTTTTATTTTATTTTCCCCTATTTAAATTTTTAACTGTCATTAATTTCTTAATTAATTTTTCTTTATCATCGCTTCTTCCTCTAAAGATGTTGTCTTCAAAATTTCTTACATAGGCGTTGTGGCCAATGTAAGAAATAATTGTCTCTACATACAGACAACTAGATTGGTGTCCATGTTATTATATTCAAAGTCTCTCTCTCTCTCTCATGACTACTAAAATACAAGTAGTTATTTTAAAACTTGGTGATATGCCCGGTGCTAGGGTTTTTTTGTCTCCATTTCCACTGTAAGCCCATCCCTCTATTTAACTCTCTCTTCACCACCATTTCATTCCACATCACCAATATATCATGGCTACTGAGCTCAAAAAATTATCTCAATCTCAAAAGCATCACCATCAAACCCTAAACCCTAACTCCGCCACCGGCTCCTGGATGTGGAACCCTAAGCAACAAGCAGCCCAAGAGGACGACGATTCTTGGGAAGTGAGAGCCTTTGAAGAAGACTCTAATGATGCCATGGGCACCACGTGGCCGCCGCGGTCCTACACTTGCTCTTTTTGTAGGAGGGAGTTCCGGTCCGCCCAAGCCCTAGGCGGCCACATGAACGTGCACCGCCGTGACCGGGCTCGCCTCCACCAAACGCCACCGAACCCCACCTCCCCCTCCCCCACCCTCATAATCCCAACTCGGGAATTCGTTGCTAATGGCGGCGGATTATGCCTTCTCTACTCATTGCCAAACCCTAATGGTGTTTTCACTCCTACGAAGATGAATGCTTGTATGGACTCCTCATCACCCTCTACTCTTCTTTCCATTTCACCATATCAATCAACGATCAATTCCTCTATCTGTCACTCTACTACCAACACTGAACCTTCACTGTCATTCGATAACGATAACAATCGAAACAACAATAGCTCAGTCATTGAAGAAGTTCTTGATCTAGAGCTCCGACTAGGGCGCAGTTTGTCGCCGTCATGATGGAAAGAGATTAATTAACGTGTGTGAGTGATTTATCTGTACTCAACTTCCTGTTTGCTAAAGAGTGCCACGAACTGTGGAATATACAGCTTGGTTTCGTAGACTTGTGTGAGTCTTTTTTTTCTTTTTTGAAACTTGGTTTGATTATTTCATTGGCGTGATTGAAGCTTGAATGGCCTAAAAATAGAGGGTCGGGAAAAGCATCTTGTAAATTTGAAGAAAAAGAAGGATTAAAGTTTAAAAAAGAACAATGAAAAAGAGATTAGGGTTTGAGTGACATAGTGTTATAGTGATAAAAGCTTGCAGTGCAGTGTCATTTTCTGTTACAGATGTCTTGAGTAAAGTGTGGGCATACATATCCGTGGGGATTATTATAGGTAAGGGTCCAGCTCTGTTGGGCGGTGGTGGGACCGATTCCAGGACCATCTCGATGATTCAAATCGTATAGAGCTCGTCGAGTATATCATTCTTGTAAAAAATTACTTTAATCAAATATCGATAGCCACTTGATCAGCTTGCAATTGTGTTTGCAATTTATTTTAAAAATCATTATTACCGTTGAAACAAATGCCAACTGATCAAATAGCTATCGATATCCAATCAACATAATTTTTTACAAGGATGATATAGTTTACAAGCTCTACATATTGAATGGTTTTAATTATCGAGATGGTCTTGGAATCAGATCACCATGGTTCAATAATACCATCCAATTTAATTTCAAACTGGGGAGAAACTGTGGCCTACAGCTAATGGAAAGGGGAAAGAAAAAAAAAATTCATTTTAGATCAAAATACTTAATATTATAGATCATAATTACGATGTTACCATTATCATATCATTTTGAATATATATATATATATATATATTTGTATACAATTATGTTTGTAAATTATTTTTTGATTATTATATTAGTATCTTTCACAAAATAAAAACGCAATTTACACCTTTTGATAGAAAAAATTATATAAATGCAATTTTTGTTTATCTTCTCAAAGTGGATTGAAGAGATAGGAATGGCAACATGGCAGGTGTAGATCATAAATCTCGTATCTTACCTCTTTTCCAGTTTAGTGAACATGCCTTGCTCTCATCCCGTCCACCCCAACCTATTTAACTTTGCAACTTATACTTTTAACATTGAATTTCGAGAATATGGTTTTATAGATGAAGATAACAAATGATTGATAAGATTCAAAATACATAAACTTAGTTTGATTGACTTTGATCTGTTGTGAAATTTGCGAGTAAAATGAGAGAGATAAGAAATAGTGCGATTGCAAAGTGAAAGGGCAATTGGTGGTGAATTCAAGAAAATTGAAACAAACCAGGTAGCTGGCATTTTGGAGAGAGAGTTCTCGGTAGAAGAAGTATGGGCTGCCATTAAAGAATGCGATGGCAACAAAGCCCCGAGCCCGGACGGGTTTAATATGCTCTTTTTCCAAAAAAACTGGAAATTTTTGCAAGAGGACATCATGAAATTCATGAAGGAGTTTCACAGCAACAGTAAATTGGGAAATGGGGCAAATTGCTCCTTTGTTACTCTTATTCCTAAGATGGAAAACCCTAATTCTCTTACTGATTATCGCCCTATTAGCTTGATTAATTCTCCTTACAAAGTGCTGGCTATAGTGTTGGCCAATAGAATCAAGCAAGTTCTGCCTAGTGTGATTGACAAGGTTCAGTCTGCGTTTGTGGGGGGAGCCTATCTTAGTTGCATTTTGCATGTGTTGCATTAGGCATTCTTAACATAACTAGGATCATGCATTGATTTCTAACTAGCTTCTGTTTTGGCTCGGAGTACACTGTAAGTGTTTATGCTTTAGCATCCTTACATGTATGTAAGTGACTGCCATGATAGCATGCTTGCCATGAGGCTATGTGCTTAACTGCTATAACTGCTTGAATGCCTATAGGTGGAGGTTTGATTGCTTGAATTGGAACAACTCGATGATTGTGAGTTTTAAGCCCACTTGAAGTGGCAAAATCATGTTTTCTAAGCCCACTTGAGGGTGGCAAATCCGCGACTTAACCTACTTGCGAGTAGCACTTTCAAATCATTTTCGAAAAACAAACATGAGATGTTTTGTTCCAATTCTTGCGATTGAGTCTATACTTGTATGTTGTGCGCATCACATAGTAAACTAGCTAATAAACCGGAATAAGAACATGTGTTTTCAAAAACAACATATCATGTTAGTAGAGGCCGATCCTTTGATCGGGCGAGCGGGGGTGCTCATTTCAGAACCTTCCCCTCTCGTACCCAAGTTCCCGAGCCGAGACAACTTTGGTGATGACAGATACGTGGCCTTAGGCACAAGTCAGGGTTTCCTAGATTTTCCAAAATAAAATATTTAGGTGGCAACTCTGAAATCTAGCAAAGCAGTCCATGTTGGCACTTCTTGATTAAAATCGATTTTCCAAAACGATTTGTCGGATTTGGACTCTTTGGTGATTTATCAGTCTTACATTGCACTTTGTGAGATTAGATTCAGAATCGTGATAAGAGTCCGAACTGTAGTAACTAGAACCACGATTTGCGCCCTCGAGTGCGGAGCGGAGTTCTGGGCAGTCTACAATAAGCAACCTCGTTTAATAGGTAGAAAGGGGTATGCGACTCAAAACATTATAGCCGCATGTGACTTTGATATGTGTTTCACATTTTGCTTACTAGGATGGGAAGGAATCTCTGTCAAAGAGCCACGTTTTACCGTCTTAACCGGAGAGAAACGGACCTCCAAACATTATCAAAATATGCTAGATCACATAACTAACATTCGGTGCCGGTGTATTTACTATACATTTGGCTAAAGGATGATACATAATAATAATATGTATTGTTTACATATATATAGTTAGCGGGATTAGTAATGTTAGTGTTAATATGAAGAATTCTATCTCAACATTGATATGTGATGAAATGAAATAATGATAGAACTTATGAGATATTAACATATATAATTAACTCTTAACATTAAGATGTGATGAAATGATGATGATGAGCCTCATGAGATGATAACAAATATTATGAATTCTTAACAATGATATGTGATGGAATGATATGATGACGAGACTCGTAAGATTATAACAAATATTATTAACACTCAACAATGATATGTAATGAAGTGATATGATGGCGAGACTTATGAGAGTATATAATGAAGTGAAATGATGATGAGACTCAAGACTCAAGACTCATGAGATATTATAACAAGTTAATAGAGTTGTGGGATTATACTTTGTTTTGAATTGGTCGCAGGTTCGGCTTGATCTACTTAGATAGTCTTAAAGTTGAGCAGAGATTCGACTTAGGTTATTTGGATTGACCTATACTTATAGAAATTTGACTTGTGATTGACCTATACTAATACCTTAGCACTCTTTCTCTTTTTTCTTTTTCTTTTTCTTTTTTCTTTTTATTTCCCTTTTGGCTCTTCTTTTCTATTTCTATGGATTTACTCTTAAATTACTCTGTTTGATTTTACTCATGCTCATTCTCACATTTCTGCTAATGCCTGAAACAGAGTTAGCACATTAATTTCTACTGTTGTGATCATGTGGTGCTCATGCTGTTGTGTATGTAGTTTGCAGATGGTGTACCTTGCATGGAATGTCTCATGCTGTTGGGATGCTGTGGTGCTCATGCTGTTGTGTATGCATTTGATTGGCTGCTGGTTGTCTTAGGCTGTGTTTAGTTAGCAGATTTAGTAGGTTGTGTTTAGCTAGCAGTTTCAGCCTTGTGTTTTCTTGTGTTTTTAGTTATTGGTTTTGTTTGCTCTGTATGTTTGGTTTCTCACCAACGTAGAGCTTGGAGTTGGTGCTAGTAGATGATTTGGTGTGCATTAAGGTGCCAACCTAGTTGGGATCTTCGTGTTTCACTGTGATGCCCTTTGCACTCTCCTCTCTTTTTTGATGTTTGTTTCCCATACTTTGTATTGTATGTTTCTTCATCTATAAAGCTTTTCTTTGCTGATCAAAAAAAAAAAATGAGGGCGGTGGGTGTTTATAGGTGGCACACATGTGAAAGTCAAGTACCATTCCGCATCATCAGAAAATGCTAACATATAGAACCAATTTCTGTTTTGCCTTATCCGTGAGTTGGTCTTCCAGCCTTGTTTGTTTTGTTTTACGTTTCTTGCCTTGCCTTATATTTTTTATTATTTTATTATTGTTATCTTCAGTTGTTTATTTATTGTATGTTGGTTGTTTGTTGTTTACTTTATTAATTTTATTATATATTTATTGTTTGTTTATTTATTTATTTTCCTTTTTCAATTTCTTAGTTTCTTTATATTTTATTAATTTTTATATTTTTATTTGTCTTTTCTATTTACTTATTATTATTTTTGTAACATCCCAAAAATAATAACAATTCATAGCATTGACATTTTGTAGTAAGTAATAACTGCGAAATATTTAACGTTTTATTGGAACTCTTAAATCGTACAAAAGAATGGATATATCGTATGTACGCCATTTATAATCTAAATCATAAATCTATAGCATATGCCATTATGCAAATGCAATTGGAACAAAGGAAATACAATTATAAGTTTATACCATAATGCTACATCTTTTCCAAGTCAATGCTTGGGTAACAAACAAAATGAGTTAACTCAATACATATATAGCTCAAAGGCTTTGTAGAAAATCAATGATTTCCTAAACAAAACTCCCCATTACTTTTCAATTAATCACATTTTAAAGAAGGAA